GCTAAACCGTCAACAATTTATTTTGTCATCATAATGTAATTGCTTTTGAAACATGTAAACATATACTTTGGTGTAACTTTTGCAATTATATTTATGGTGGTTGTTTTTACTTTGAGCACTATTATACACGTTGTTGTGATACTGTACATGAAGTCCTCCACCCCCAGACGTTTCCGCCATCCTTGGTTTGGGGGTGTGACAATAACTCTTCATCGATCCCATTGAGATAATCATGCATACGATCAGCCCACTGATCATAGTATTCAAGAATTAACCTAGGAATTTTAGTTGATGATTCAAGCATATGAGAAAAAGAAGTCATTGAATTGATATTGAAATTCGCCATTGACGAAAAAATGAAGTTTTTCGAGAATTTTGAATTAACAACAAGAATTTGAAAAATGATAATCGGAAATGATTCATAATTTTTACAAAATCACTCGATTGAACAATCCAAAAGCAGAATCTAATCACAATCTTAGACCTGAAAGAATTTTTCAATTTCAAAAAGCGCGGAAACTTTTGAACCAAAAAATTGATTCAAAAACTTTTTAAACGATTGAAAATCAGATCACAAAAATAATTCCTGCTCTAATACCAATTGATGGAACAAAGAATCGAGTATGAAATGAATCATAGTAAATGTTTATGAATCAAATAGTAATTGAACACACGATGTAAATAAGATCTTCACTTCAGCTCAATTACGCTTTAAGAGTTTTACAAAGAGAATAGACAATTCGGTTCAAGTTATCTAACTCTAGTAAATGATCCTATTTATAGGATACGTAAAGCGTACAAAAAATATACTAAGACAAAAACACTTAAGCTTCGAATCGAAAGAGCCTTAGTAAAATATATTACAGACCATACGAAAAGTACACAAAAGGCTTCGACTCATTACAACCAAACTACCCTTACATTCTCCCCTTTTTAAACAGAGTTGAAGACTTCAGTTCGTAAGCAGTTGAATGGAGTACAACATTACTCTTCGTATCTTAGTGTACCATGAGATAATCTTCTTTAGTTCCTTCTGTTGAATCAACATCTTAATGTGTAGAGAGAATATTAACATTATTGTATATGGCGGTCTATTCAAATAATTTCTACTGCATAATGCTTATATTGATATGTTATATTACCTATGAGGGATAAGCTAGTTACATAACTCTAACCACAAATGCAAAACACCAAATTAGATCCAACTAGTTGGTTGAATCAACATTAGGCAAAAGAACAGTACAACAAGAGTTGTGCATTAGGAGTTTAGGACTGGTTAAGTAACTTGAACCATTAAAATAATCCGGTCCTTGGTTATAAAAAAAACTCGACTCGTCGTTTAAGTGATTTTGAAAGGGGGCCACTAATATGATACATGTGCAGAACCCAACATGTTAAAATCCAAGCATGTAAACCAGATTTTTATTCCCTTCTAATGTAAATAAGTTTATAAACAATTCATTTGTGGATATATATATATATATATATATATATATATATATATATATATATAGAGAGAGAGAGAGAGAGAGAGTCAAGATCAAATAAGAAACAAATTTTTGGTAGGAAGGTAAGATGTTTTTTTTCTACATATTTTTTTCGCGAACAAACAAAATGAATCATTACATGATTCATTTGTAAAATGATTCACAAGAAAAAATTCTCAAAAAAATATCTCGATGAATCGAATATATAATGATTTTGTTGTTATTCACTAAAATTGTCATAAAAGTGGATTTTTTCTTAATTTACTTAAAAATGAATCATATAGATATTTTTTTGAGAATTTTTTCTTGTGAATCATCTTACAAATGAGTCATCTAGTGATTCATTTTTTTTGTTCGTCAAAAAAATATGTAGAAAAAAAACTACTTACCTTCCTACCAAAGAAAATTTCTTAACTGATCTATATCCTAGATCCTATATATATATATATATATATATATATATATATATATATATATATATATATATATATATATATATATATATATATATATATATAGAGAGAGAGAGAGAGAGAAAGATAAGTTGAATTGAGAAAAAAAATGTTAAGAATAAGGGAATTATTCTCAGTCAGTCATTTTTATATATGTAAAACACATTTAACCTACGCTCCCAAGTGTAATTTAACAGATGAAGAGAAAGGAAGTGAGAAGAAAGATGGCAAAATCACGCTCCAGAGTTTTTTTTATAGGGGGAAAGAAAAGAAGACGAGGAAAAATGAAAGAAGATTTGTTGATAATTATCTCCTCCAACTTTCCTCTCATATTCAGAGGAACTGGAGAGAAAGAAATCGATGACAAGATGTATAATTACACATTGACCAAACTACCCTTATTATTAACTTACTAATAAAAGGATGCATACCTCATAACACGTCTTATGTGCGCTTCATACATTGTCCCTGCCAAATCGGTGCGCCATCTCTATGGTCGTCTCCAAGGTATGTTCTTTTTCTTTTCTTTACCTTCTCTTTATTCTCTTTCTTTTCCTTATTACTTCTTCTTCCTTCTTGTTTGTTGTTTTAGCATTTCCCAAAACATTTGTTCCATAAAACTAGTTATATGTACTCGATATGTAAATCAGAATACCGACATTTGTAAATCATATATGTATATATATATATATATATATATATATATATATATATATATATATATGATAAAATTCCCATTGATGATAAACTAATAAGAACAGAAGAAAAAAGAAGTCACATGAAAGGAAGAAAACTGATTAGTAACAACTTTTTAGTGTTTATGTTGTTGGTAAATCTCATAATTAAAATAGTATATGTTTTCTTTGTTTATATTTTTCTTTTTAGTTAAGATGTATTCGTATGCAACCCCTACAATTGATATTAACATGCATGTGTTTGGGATTGAATTGTTACAAGAAAATAAAATGTATATATCTCCTAAACAATCTAAAATAAAAATAATCTTCTTCTTTTAACAAATAGGGAACAATATTGTGATGTTTAAAATAATATTAATAGTATATATGTGATCTTACACTTTGTATAGTACGTGCAATGTAGCAAAAGTATAAAGTTCATGTCTGTTATTACTTCTTCTTCCTTCTAGTTTCTTTTCTGCTTGACTGAAATCAGATTCAAGTCTATTATCCTTAAAATTACATTGTTTAAGTTTACATAATAGTGAATTGAAGACTCAAGTCAAATTCATGTTTGCGTACCTCCTTTATGTAACAACTAAAACAAGGAAAATGCCTAAAAGCCCCTACACTAATAATATGCTTTTTATTTTCTAATTTCCCAACCTTGTTCTTGCTTATGAACAGACATGAATTCCATTCCATATTCAACTAAACCATTTGCTCTATTTTCATCATCCATTTTTTTCATTGAATAATAAATCATCTTTGATAATGAAATTTCACAATGAACAACGAGTACCTTCATTATGGATAATAATGTACTCAATCCCTCTCATGTTTGAGAGCCCGACAACTACAAGTGGTCAATTTGTTTTGCTTGTTTTCGACGTTTATTACACACCTTCATTATGGATAAGCCGGTACTCAATTCCTCTCATGTTTGGAGATCCCTACACTTGAAAGTGGTCAATTTGATTTGCTTGGTTTTTACTTTTATTACACAACGTACACTAGACAACACAAAGCGGATTAAGTTGCCCATTAGAAAAGTTATTTTAAAATGACAAGTTGCAATGGAAGATTTACTACACAATATTTAAAGGGTGGTCAGGGTCATGATCTAATTCGTATGATTGAAAATCCTTTTAGGAGATTGTATGAAATCTTAAAAAATGAAGGTGATCTATGACCTACACAATGCGTGTCCATAGAGGAGCATGTTGCAAGAGTTTTGCATTTTGTAACTAACGATTTGCGAACTCGATCTACCTTGTAGATATATTGTCGCTCTAGATCAACAATGATTACGTGCTTCCATAGAGTAATAAGAGTGATTATATCGATAAAAAGTCTTTATATTCAGCAACCTAAAGGTGTCATTGTCCGGAGAGAAATTCAAGAAGAAAAGAGATTTTATCCCTTTTTCAAGAATTGTATAGGGAAATTGATGGAACACATGTTTGTGTCCATGTGCCTAGTAATAATACCCCTACATATCATGGTCATAAGGGATACCGGACAAGAATGTATTGCCTGTTTGTATGTTTGATTTAAAGTTTACTTATGTGTTAACAGGTTGCGAGCGTACTGCATCAGACTCGAAAATAATAAAGAACACATTTACTTGAAATGATAAACTACTAATTCCATAAGGTAATTTATTAAACCAACATAACTTAAATATGTATTATTTTCCTATAATATTGATTAAACTCTCTTTATAGTTAGATATTGTTTGGTGGATACGAGTTTGGCTCATATGAGTAAACTAATGGTGACATATAGATGTGTTAGCTTTCATTTAAAAGAGTACTCCACTCATGCTCCTCGGAATTCAAAAGATTTGTTTAATCTTCGTCATGTATACTTACATAATGTCATTGAATGAGCTTTTGGTGTCCTCAAATAAAGGTTCCCTATCATTCGAAGTACAATGGGACCATTTGACTCTTGTAAAACACAATCTTCTGTATTTTTGGCATGTTGTTTTCTACACAACTTTATACTAGATGAAGACCACGACATAAATCTTGAAGATTGGTGATGCAGAAGATGTTAAATGGACCACAAGAGAAACAACGTCGTAATTCAAGAGAAATAGATGAGGGTAGTAGTAGGGAGAGAAACTAAGGAATTCAATTGCAAATGAAATGTGGGAAAATTATTTGACATATTCGAAAAATTAAATTAATATGCCAAATTGGTTTTCTAAAAGTACATTTAGTTTTGTAATTTCATATTGTATTGAAGATTTGTTTTTGAAATTATATTTATTATTTACCCGTAATATTGTCATAATTACTATGTTAACAATTTCCAAGAATTTATGTAGTCTAACAATGTATCCTTATTTTGTTTATATTCCTATGTGAAAACTCATCATGAGCAAACAAGAAGCTACTGGTGGTATGAGTAAAAAGGAACTAGTTAAATGGATAGAGAAAATGGATTATGCATACATTCAAGTGATGATTAAACAACAAGAGATGGGCAATATGATACATGATTCTTTCACATCACAAGTATATGCTAAAATGGTTGAGGAGTTAAATAGAAATCATCAAATGAGTATCACCAAAATCCATTTGAAGAATCGCTACAAAACCTTAAAAGAATATTTTTCTTCATGGTATGATTTGTTTAGAGGAACTTTATTTAGCGGGTTCTATTGGAATTCGTCTACTTAACTAATAGAAGCGGAGGAAAAAGTATGGTATAAGCTTTAACACCCCGCTTATTGTACAGATAAACAAATAAATTAAAGAAGGTATGGTAGACCTAAAATCAATGATTAAATGGCAAGGTGTTGGTTTTGGGAAGCCAAATGTCATAAGTTGGATCATTCGGGGTTCAAAGTATAAATTCAAGATTTATTTTGTAAAGATTTTAGAAGACAATGGATATTTGGTAAGTATTAGACTTAATTTGTAAATGATTCCAGGAGACTGTGTTAAAAAAGGTAAATTTTGGATTAGTCTTATAAAGATTTTAGAATATGGGGGCTGTTAGTAAAATTCGGAGTTATCTTGTAAAGAATTTCAAAAGGAGTGGATAAATGGTAAATTAAGGATCTATTTTGAATGAAACGGGAAAAAGAAGGACTGGTATTGTTAATATGGATAGAAGTTTCATAGTGACGGGATATATGAACCTGCATCCCCGGTTGCCTTAACCCTAATACTCTATCATATTCATCAGTCGTCACTTCTTCACCCTTATGTCTCCCATCTGCCACCGCCCCCTTCTTCACCTTCGGTCGTCGTCATCACCATCGAAGCTCTCCTTAGCCACCGATGGCATCACCAAGTTTGACAGCTCTTGTCTCCGTCTGCTGCCTCATTGACGAACCCCTCCATTCTGCCACCTGTTATCGCCTGTCATGTCAAGAATGGTCGGAGAAAACCCTGAGACCAGAGGATGAGCTGTGAATGAAGAAGAGCAGGTCGCGAACGGCTAGAATCTCTTGGTTAAACCACCTTGACTTGCATTCCTATCCTTCTAGAGTTGTTCGATGACATGAGTACCACTATTGCTGTCGTTGCCGTCTCCTCTAGCTCCAACGCTGCCAGCCGCCAATTCGGTTGCTGAAGGCTGTTGTTTCACATCATATCCCTCTGGTATCGACGTGCTGCTTAGCTGAAGAACAAGAGAGGTGACCGCCACCACCGTAAGGTGGTGGCTGTCATCGCAAATCACCTTTGTTGGCCATTGTTGCCGCCATTTCAGGTTGGATGCTTGCAAATATAAGTATGGTTGGTGTGTTTCTGTTTTCGTGTACTTGTGTGTATAGTGTTGTATGGCCAGAAAACTGAGAACAACCACCACCCCAACTGTCAGGTGGTGGCTGCCAGCAGGCACCATTATGTGTGTGTGTGTGTGTGTGTGTTTTAGTGGTTGTGTGTGTTTATTTGAAATTCAGCATTGTAAAATGTAACTAGAAAAATGGAATAATGGAAATAAAGTCATAACCACCACGATAAGGTGGTGGCTGCCGCCTGCTGCTGCCACCATCCGCCGTGTCGGGTGGCGGTGTGTCTTGTTGGATCGTGACTTGTTTGGATGTTTGGATTAAGGGACTAATGAACCTTAATGGGCCCAATGAGGCCTAATAGGCCTAATAAACCCTAATGGGCCCATTAAAGCTTAATATACCTAAAATCCTAAGAATGTGACTAATGGGCCTAATGAGCCCTAACGGATCTAAGGACTTGGTATTGGGCCTTTCAGGTTGGGGTTGGGTTGGAAACCCTAATCAAGGTTTAGAAATCCCTAATTTTGGATATATGGGCCTTGGATTGATCGGGACCCACACTAGAATCATTTACTAAATTAAAATATAAATTAATAACCAATTGTAATTAACCTAAGGCCATATTGGACTTAATGTATTAAGTCCTTAATGGGTTAAGTGAGGAACACTTAACCCTAATCATCACTTTATTTGAAACCCTCATCCCACTTGGGTTTATTGTTGGGCCTTTCTATTGGGCCTTGATGATAGGATTATTAATAGGCCATCCAAGAGCAAGCAAATGGACTAGAATAATTAATAGGCTTTGATGTAAGGCCCATATGCAGAGTTAGGCCCAATTTGGAAAATTGGGCCATAGATAGGCCATAGATTGGACCGTAATAATTATATAACGATTGCGCCTTTGAATAAGACCATTTAAAGGTTAGGGCCTAATTTGGAAAATTGGGCCATATGTTGGGCCTTGACTCATAGCTGACTTTTGGGCCTTTGGATTGGGGCTTGAGCTTGAATCAAGCCAAGATAAGGGTAAATTAGTCTTATACTCCAACATGGACTTATGGTTATGTGTTAGAACCCAATTATTAATTGGGTGTTATTTTGATGTTGATAGATTCGGGAATATGTCAGTCAACAGCTACAACTTTATCCGCGGGACTTCAGCAGTGTGAGGTGAGTGTCCTCACTATTTGTATGGGTCTAAGGCACCAATTTTTGGATTAGTGTCTAATTCCATAACTATTTTGGTATATGCTTTACCCGATTATGAGCATGGTCCTTTTGGGTTGCCTTCACCATAGCAATATGTAGGATGACTTAAGGAGAGAAAGGATTAATTATGATTTATTGATATATTATAAGAATAATATATTAAAGGAGAAATCATAATGTTTAATTAATATTAGTTAATAATTAATTAAGAATTATTTTTGTGGCTAAAAGACATTAAGTAAACTTAAGGGACTGGAATTGCAATTATAACATAATTGCAAGAGTGGGCTAATGGACTCCATAGAGTGGAGTGGACGAAACTTATGGGGAAGCCCATAAGATTTCGTCCATGACTCTAAAGAAAGGGATCCATGGGCTGCTCAGGGCTTAAGCAACTAGATTAGGGTTTCCTAGTTCTAAATCCTAATAGCCTACATGTATATAAAAGGGCCCTATGCCCCAAAAACGTGGCTAAGAGTTACTTCAGGGTTTCTAGACGTTTTGGGTAACCTCCTCTCTTCTCCTCTTCATCCAAGTTGCTTAGTGGTGTTTGTGACTTCATTAGAGGTGCATCACTTGAGGCACTAAGCTTTCTAAAGCTAAGGATTGAGTGTTATTGCTATATAACAATCTAAGGTTAGATCTAAACTCTGTTTTATGTTAATATGATTATTTGTATGCTAGATCTAGGGTTTATAGCTTTGGATATTCAATTGCATGTTCATTATACAAACTAGATCCAAAAGCTATTAGGGTTTGCATGTACACAATAGGAATGATTTTTGGCTCAAAACCCATCAGTGGTATTAGAGCCAAGTTTGTTTGTATGATGTATTTGATGAAATTATGGTTTATTCATGCATTAAAATAGAAATTTAGGGTTTCTGGGGGCTGGACTCGCCAAGACCATGGCTGAACTCGCCGAGTCCATGGTGAACTCAATGAGTCCATGTCTGACTCGACGAGTCAGCTGGTTAGAAAGAGCTAATTTCGGGATTTTGTGCTTCTTTGGCTGTGGGATAGTTACCAAAATGTTTTTTATTGATATTAATCAAATTTTTATGATATTGGGTGATTACCTTTGCCAAAATAAAAGATAACTTCATATTAGTTAAAAAATTATTTCCTTATATGATTAGATTTAATTGTTTGAATTATTTGGTGAATTATGTAGCAAGAATTTGGACTAGCTTAAATTAGATAACCACCAATTAATTCTTAATTGCCTTATTTGAATTTTGTGATCTAGAATATTGTTGATAAAGTTTGGAAAAGTTTCAAATTACTCCCTTTAGATTTTATAGTTTAAATTTGAACCTAAAAGTTTTGTTTTTGAAATTTAAATAAGTTAAACCCTAATGTTTTGAAAAGTTTCAAAACTTGCCCTCAAGTTTTGGAATTTAAAAGTTGATTAAAAGTTTAATTTTGAAATGTTAAATTCTAAAACCCTAGTAATTTGAAAAAGTTCAAATCACACCCTTATGGTTTTATTAATTAATTAAAGTGTATAATTAAAAGTGATTCAATAAACACATAAAGTTTTGGTTTACTTTAATTAAATTAAAAGTATAATTTACTAAATTGAACCACATAGTATTTTAAAAGTTTAAAATACACCCTATACTATATATAACATTAAAAGTCTAATATTATATATATGTATGAGTTAACAGTCAGTCTTACCGTTAGTAGACCTCATTCACGAAGCTGGTCTATAAGGGGTGTTTAAGGAAATTACCTATAAAATAGCGATTAAATGGGTATCCACTCTTACCCACCGCACTCTTGACTAGTGGAGGGTCGTTAGTCGAACGGGTAGGATAGGAAAGAAACCTTCCGTTATAAGTATAATGAAGTACAAAGTAACTAAATGCTTTTACAAATTCCCAAATCATAGTTACTTTAGGCAAAATGTGAAATTGTATGCTAATCCATGGAATTACACTTCGTACCCTTGTCAAACGTTAGGGGAGCGTGTGTGGTTAACCGGCACACTAATTTGGGGATGACATTGGTGGCGAAGGGTGGCTTGATGCTTATCATAGATCAATGGAGCGTATGTGGCTAACCGACACATTGATTAGGTGATAGTAGCGTTGGGTGCACCATGTGATTCGTATGGTTATTCACACCTTATTTGTGATCCTCGGCATCCCAATCACAAATAGTAGGGCATAATCAAGATTTAAACATGCCATTGAAAAGTTTAATGAATCTCAAAAGATCTAAGAGTTTCAATTCATTTAAAACTTAAACTTCCTTTTCATTTTTCATGGTGGAAATTGGTAAATCGTCATTTACCTACCTTCAAATATTCTGCAACTAGATTACGGCATCCCTCGTCTAGGTTGTAGAGTGTTGTGTTGGATCCTAGCGTCGATGTTTCATTTGGGTGTTACATCAAGGAGTATAATCAACTTAACTTGAATTTTATCCCATTTTGTAGATGTCAAACAACTATGGTCTTCCCAAATCCCATAGAACAAGCTTTCCATACGAAGATGATATTCCACAATATGATCGAGGAATAAGAAATCATGCTTCACTTCCTCCACCTCCTACAATTGTTCTCCCTAACCCACAAGTTTGAAGGATTGAAAAGTTCAAGCTCACTCAAGCCCTTTTTGCAAGTAAACACGAAGATGGGAAACATGTGTGTGCATATGTCATAGAGATGAAGTCACACATTGATAGGTTAAGCATGTTGGGTGTTGAGATTTCAAGTGAGTTGGCTGTTAACTAGGTTCTTCAGTCACTTCCTGAATCATATAGTGAGTTCGTTAGAGAGTACTATATGATGGATCACTATGTGACCCTCATTGATCTTACCTATTTGCTTATAGTTGCTGAATCAGTAATGATTTGGCATGCTGGTCAAGCAAATTTGTCTGGTGAATCAAACTCCCAAACTTCAATGGATATTGGCAACATTGGAAGTCCAGAAAGAACTAAGTCTGTGATTATCCGATGTGTTGTGCCAAAGGAGTCCATTTGCTTTTATTGCCAAGAGAAAGGGCATTGGAGACGAAGCTACCCAAACTACCTGAGAGATCTAAGAAATGGGAGAGTCAAGACGTATGGGTCTGCTTTAGGTAAAATCCACTAACTAACTCTTTTAAGTTCCTATTCTAGATTCTTAATACAAGATGTGATAAGATTACATTTTGATGTTTTGTAGGATCGAAGAAAAGAGAGGAAGCTTAAGGGAAGAAGTGAGCTAAATCTAATCGTGAAGAAAGTGGATTTCGATTGCATTGTTTGAAGATTGGATTCTTGAGCTGCTACTTGGAGTTAGAAAAGATTGCTAAGAAATATGTAATAACATAGTTTTTCAATTGAATTACATTGTAAGGATAAGTTTTTCCGCAATAAAATAAATT